ACAGACAAAAAAGAAGCATATGATCCAAGCACTAGTAAATTTTGTCTTGCCCTAATTACATTTATCTTAGCCAAAATTCACAAAAGTGAGGGGCGCCTGGGTGGCTCAGTCAGTTAAACATCTGCCTTAGGCTTAGGTCATGATCCCAGGGTCCTGGGATCACGCCCAGTGTCAGGCTCCCTGCTCAGTGGAGAGCCTGCTTTTCGTCTGTCACTCTCCTTGCTTGTGCTCTCTTTCTCTCTCTAATAAATAAATAAAATCTTTAAAAAAACATTCACAAAAGTGAAATGGTTTATTACAGATTGTAAAAAGAGATTGTGTCTAAGCTGAAAAAAATAACCCATGATTCAGCTCCCCTCACAGAGAAATCAGCAGTGAGATTGATGGTCCTTTGGCTGTCAGTGTTCCTGACAATAGATGTAGTGTCTCTGAGTTCTGGTTAAGTGCCAATAGCTAGTGGGAAATTCTATTTCAGAAAACATGCTATGTGTATGAATATTATTTGAAATTATGAAGTCCATAAACTACATTTTTCTAAAAGATTTAGTCAGTGTTGGGAGGCAGGGTACAGGTAAAAGAAGACAGAAGTCAGTTACTTGGAAGGAAAAGAGGAAAGATGTAGTAATCAGAGCACCGGCTCTGAAAAAGAAAGAAGGCCATCTCACCTTTATTTCCTTTGACTTTTACATCCTCCCCTTTTTTTCCCTAGCTTTATTGAGATATAATTGACACATAACTGTGTGTAAGTTTAAGGTATACAGTGTGTTGATTTATACTTTTATAAACTGTAAAATGATTACCATCATAGTATTAGGTACCATCTGCATCCTATCACATAGTTACTAATTTTTTTTTTTTGTGGTGAGGATTTTTTCTTTTTTTTAAGATTGATTGATTGATTGATTGATTTGAGAGAGAGAGAGAGAACGTGCACACATGTGTGCCCGCAAGTGGGGGTGGGGGGAGAGAATCTCAAGCAGACCCGTGCCCCCCACTGCCCCGTTCCACTGAGCACAGAGCCCAGCGCAGGGCTCGATCTCATGACCCTGAGATCACGACCCAAGCCGAAATCAAGAGTCAGATGCCCAACTGACTTAGGTGACCAGTGACCAGCCACTCAGGTGCCCCTGTGGTGAGAACTTTTAAGGTCCATTTTCTTTGCAACATTCAAGTATATAATACAGTATGACTAACTATAACCACCATGCTGTACATTAGATCCCCAAGCTTATTAATCTTATAACTGGAAGTTTGTACCCATTGACCAGTATCTCATCATGTTCCCCACCCCTTAACCTCTGACAACCACCGTTCTGCTCTCTGTTTCTCTGAGTTTGTCTTTTTTAAATTCCATATATAAGTGAGATCATACAGTGTTTGTCTTTCTCTGTCTGACTTAACTTCACTTAACATAGTGCCTTCAAGGTCCATCCAAGTTATTACAAATGGCAGGATTTCCTTCTTTCTCATAGCTGAATAATGATCTCTTGTGTATATATGCCACATCTTTTTTATCCATTCATTCATTGACAGACACTTAAGGTTATTTCCATATTTTGGCTGTTGTAATGCTGTAATGAACATTGCAGGTAACTCTACAAGATTCTGATTTTCAGTTTCTTTGAGTATCTATCCAGAAGTGGAATTGCTGGATCATATGGTAGTCCTGTTTTTCATTTATTGAGGAACCTCCATACTGTTGTCCATAGGGGCTGTACCAACTTACATTCCCACCAGAAGTTCATTAGGGTTCCCTTTTCTCCACACCTTCACCAACACTTAACTCTTCTCTTTTTGATGATAGCCATTATAACTGGTGTGAGGGGATAGCCTGTGGTTTTGATTTGCATTTCCCTAATTACTAGTAATGTTAAGCACCTTTTCATCTACCTATTGGACATTTGCATGTCTTTTTTGGAAAACTGTGTCTTCAGTTCTGCCCATTTTTAAATCAGGTTGTTAGTTTTTTTGCTGTTGAGTTGTATGAGTTCTTTACATATTTGGATATTAACCCTTTGTTGGATATATGATTTGCATTTTCTCCCATTCTGTAGGGAGAAATATTGCCTTTTCGTTTTATTGATTGTTTTTTACTGTGCAGAAGCTTTTTACTCTGATGTAGTCCCACTTCTATAGATTTTACTTCTGTTGTTTGTGCTTTTGCTGTCATATCTAGGAAATCACTGCTGAGAGGGTCAGTGTCAAGGAGCTTTTCCCCTGTTTTCTTGTAGTTTTGTAGTTTCAGGCCTTGCACTTTAATTTAATCCATCTCAAGTTCGTTTTTGTGAGCGGTGTAAGATAGTGGTCCAATTTCATTCTTCCATATGTGGTTATCGAGTTTTCCCAACACCGTTTATAGAAGAGACCATCCTTTCCCCATCAAGTATGCTTGGCTGTCTTCTCAAACTGGGATTTATTTCTGGGTGTTCCATTGGTCTGTGTATCTGTTTTTATGCCAGTGCCATATACTGTGTTGATTACTGTAGCTTTGTGATATAGTTTGAAGTTGGGAAATATGATGCCTCTGGCTTTGTTCTTCTTTCTCAGTATTGCCTTAGCTATTCACGGTCTTTTGTGGCTCCATACAAATTTTAAGATTCTTTTCTATTTCTGTGAAAATGCCATTGGAATTTTGATAGAAATTGCATTGAATCTATAGATGGTTTTGGGTAATATGGATATTTCAATAATATTAATTCTTCCAATCCACAAATATGGATATCTTTCCATTCGTTTGTATCTTCTTCAGTTTCTTTTATCGAGGTCTTGTAGTTTTCAGTGTGTTGATCTTTCACTTCCTTGATTACATTTATGCCTAAGTATTTTATTTTTTTGATGCTAGTGTGAATGGGATTGTTTTCTTTACTTTTTCAGATGTTTTGTTGTTAATGTATAGAAACAACTGCTTTCTATGTGTTGATTTTTATATCCTGCAATTTTACTGAGTTATTGATTAGTTCTGGTGGCATTTCAGTGGAGTCTAGTCTAGGATTTTCTACATGTAAGATCATATCATCTTCAAAGAAAGACAGTTTTTATTCCTTTCTTATTTGGATGCCTTTTATTTCTCTCTCTTACATAATTACTCTGGCTAGGACTTCTAGTACTTTGTTGAATAGGAGTGGTGAGAGTGGGCATCCTTGCAAATCTGAGAGAAAAAGTTTTCAAACTTTCACCTTTGTGAATGATGTTGGCTATGGGTTTGTTGTATATGGTCTTTCTTGTACTGAGGTATGTTACTTCTATAACCTAGTCTGTTGAGTGTTTTTATCATGAAAGGGTGTTACACTTTGTTAAATGCTTTTCTGCATCTGTTGAGATCACATGAATTTTATCTTTCATTCTGGTCATGTGATGTATCACATTTATTGATTTGTGTATATTGAAACATCCTTATATTCCAGGGATAAATCCCGCTTTGTTGTGGTGAATGATTGTTTTAATGTGCTGTTGAACTGGGTTTTCTAGTATTTTGTTGAGAATTTTTGCATCTATGTTCATCAGGGATATTGGTCTGTAATTTTCTTTTCTTGTCATATCCTTATCTGGCTGTGGTATCAGGGTAATGCTGGCCTTGTAAAATAAGTTTGGGACTATTCCCTCCGGTTTAATATTTTGGAAGAGATTGAGAAGGATTGCTGTTAATTCTTCTTTAAATGTTTGGTGGAATTCACCAGTGAAGCCATCTGGTCCTGGACTTTTCTGTTTGGGGAGGGTTTTGATTACCGATTCACTCTCCTTACTCAGTATTGGTCTATTCAGATTTTCTCTGTCTCCATGATTCAGTCTTGGTATGTTACATGTTTTTAGGACTCTGTTCATTTCTTCTAGGTTATCCAGCTTGTTGGTGTATAATTATATGTAGTAGCTTCTCGTGATCCTTTCTTTTTCTGTGGTATCAGTTGTAACGTCTCTCCTTTCATTTCTGATTTTGATTATTTGGGTCTTCTGTTTTTCTGAATTAGTATAGTAAAGGCTTGTCAATTTTGTTTATCTTTTCAAAAAGCCAGGCTTTAGTTTTCATTGACCTTTTTTATTGGTTTTCTGGTTGGGTTCTCTTATTTAAACTTTGAGAACAGGAAAGTACATTTGTCAAAGGAGTACCTTCTGCAAATGAAAAGGATAAATGGGATTACTCTGTTTCAACAGTTTCTATAATAGGGTCTATCCTTTAATTTTTGAAAGACTTGGCTCTTTAAAGTGGGAGTAAGGAAAGAGCCAAGAAAAAATGACCTTTTGTGACTGACTCCCACTACCAGTGTCATGGGAAAAGCCAAGATCATTGTTTTTCAAACTTTGGACCACACCTGCAAAAGAAAATACATGTTACATTAGGACTCAGTAAACACATGTAGACACAACTAAAAGCTATAAGGACCAGTAATTTGATTATGCCACTGTGCACTTTAATGCATTTTATTGTGCTTCATTCTATTCACAGTCCATTGCAGGATTGTTGGTTTGATTTTGTATTGTTTTTTTAATGCTGATCCTGACCCACTAAGGGGGGCATAAGGCTGGCTTGTGAATGGTTGCGGGAGAAGGGAGCAGCAGAGGGGGTCCGGTCAGAACCAGTGCTCAATGCTCCCCCACCCCCTGCAGCCTTCACGCCTCCACCCTGCGCTTATGTTCATTCTTGGTTTCCCCAGAAATGCTACTCCCAGCTTTCCATGTGACCGCATCTTTGTTCTACACACACTGCCACTTTGTTCACTGGCCCTGCCATGGAAGCTTCACATCTTTGCTCTGGGCTCTGATTGGGTGATAGCTCAATGGCCTTCACATATCCCAAAGAAACCCCCTCCCCCTTCGGGCAAAGGGGAGAGGAGGACTGAAATCAAAGTTTATAGGGAGGGTTTGGCCACCCTGGACAAGAAGCCTGGGCAGTGGTGACGGTGCCCTGTGGCTAGAGGAGATAGGAGCGTGCTAAGACCAAGGAGTCAAGTTCAGAATTAAGAGTCTCGCTCACTTCCTTTTCCCCGGCCTCTTGCTGCCTACAGGTAAATTCTACTGCAAACCACACTACTGTTATCGACTCTCCGGCTCCGCACAGAGGAAGAGACCAGCAGTGGCTCCTCTCTCTGGAAAGGTAATGGTGATCCATCTGTAAGTGGGGGAGAAGCAGCAGGTGCGTTTTAGTGTGGTGACAGGTGAGGTGTGGTTGGCCAGGCCTGCTAAATGGCCACTAATTTGCCTTTCTTGTGAATGGGAAGGGCCTGAGAGACAGTCACAGTCCAGTTGGGGAGGAAACCAACTTTTTGAGTATAATCTTGATATTACATTTCACTAAGGTAATGTTCCATCCACCACCTGAGTCGGATTTGAGAGATTATGTTAGACCCTTCTGTTTACTCTATATAAGAGAAGACTTTAGTCATTGTAAATAAGCATCTTTCTGAGAAAAGGACACCCTGCAAAGGAATGTGGCTATAAATAATCTGCTCTGCTTGTCAATTCCTTTAACTTTCTTTATTCTGTGAATTACTTATCTAAATACCTTTTTTCCTTCTTACATTTTTTTTTTTTTTAAATGAGAGTAGCTCCTCTACTTGTCTTTGTCAAGGTGAACCGGGTATTCCCTTCCCTACAGGATGTTACCTTGTCAGCTTGTAGGCTTACTAACCCGTCCTGGAGAGGCTTTTGTTGACCTCAGAGGGACTTGTGGGGAAAGGAAACTGATTCCAGGGTGGACCTAGATTTTGACTGCTGGCGATTTCCCCATGAAGTCTGTCCTGGATTTTTAAAGAAAGACTGACTGTGTGAAAAATACAGTCTGGATTGACTGGTGAGAGCAGTGAACTAGCCAGGCAGGGGCCATTGCCTTCTGAGATTTTAGTGCTTCAGTCAGTCACTCTTCTTCTTCTTGCGGACTTTCCTAGGAGCCCAGAGAAGCCCTGCAGGATGGCCCAACTGTGGACGCAAATGGACGGGCCAGCGCCATGGCCAGCCCTGCTGAGAGAACCCCAGGTAGCCTCACTTCCTTGTTTGGCTGGGTGGTGCGTCACTCTCTCGGCCTCTGTGACAAGGCCAAGGGGATGAGCCAGCACCTCCAAAGCAACATTTCTTCGATTGGGCATCAAGTGGCCCAAAACCCTTTGGACTCCTTTTTCATGTGCCAGCTGCTTGCGTTCGGAGTCCCCTTTCTCTATGGCCTGTCGGAGGTGCTGGTACAAATCCGAGGGGAGTTGCGCTGGCAGACCGTGAGCCAGTAGGGGCGCCATCTGGTGAGCGTCAGTAATGTCCATTCCCGATCTCAAAGTATTGTTGCTGGGGCCTGGGAGTCTGCCCGCACTCATAAGACACACTGGGGTGGTCGGTCCAGGCCCCATCCAGGTAGACAGGAATTCAGAACAGGCTGCTTGCCAGAGTCCCAGGGCCTTCTTGTTCTGGACTCCTTGGACAGCATGGAATTGTAATAAGGCCCCATGATCTGGATTTGTGTTCACCTAAACTTGACATTCTTGCATCCCGCTCCCTATTTAGGTATCTACATAAGCTGACACTGCACTTCCATTTGACGTGTAACCACTATAGGTCATGCCCTGTCCTAATCACTTTGGGGCATTTGAACTTCTAATGAGGACCAAACCATAATTTGTTCCATTTCCACTAATCATTTCCTTGTGTCAGGAAGTGAATGACACTATCCCTACCTCTGAAAACACATTTATTCTGGTGTTTTAGCTCATGGGCTCATGGACGTTAGATTTGTTGTGAAGAATTGTAGTTTTTTTCCTTAAAATTACCTCTCTCTGCTCCGTGTCAGGCCAGCCTGTGAGATATGTCCCCAGTTCCACAAACTGCTGGGTGGTCCCAATACCCCCAGGGCAGCCACAGACTATATACAACCCAGGGTCATTGTATAGGTGAGAGAGGAAGTCAATGGGCCGTGTTTCTGCTTCTCACACTTTTTCTGTCTTTCACAGCAGATAGATCTCAAGCAGCCATTTACAAACTCATGAAAATTACCATATAAAAACTAAAGATTATCAGCTAATGCTAGAAACTGTGGAGGAGTTGGTAGTGAAATTTCCATATTGGGAAAAGAGAAGAATTATCCACTCTACTTTCAAATGAGAGGTTTTCAGAGTTGCTTCTTTCCCTGTGCTTAATAATTAGGGAAAGGGAGAATGTGCCCGGAGAGGGCAGTGATTTGGAGGCTAAGGCCCAGCAAACCCCAGCTGAGCTAGGTGAATTCGGCTTCTGCTCTATGTGTGCCCACATTAAAATCCAGGGAAGCTTTTTAAGTGCCCTACGAATTGGACCAACATTTTATAGCAATGTTTATGCCACGAATGACTTTGAAACCTATGGCTTTGAAATCCTTTATAATCTGTCTTTCCCATGAAATGCTGGCAGCCTTTTGCAGTTGACACTCTCAGAGCACAAGGGGGAAGTGCTGGTAGCGAAAAATCACCAAAGTGATCTAGACAGAGACTTAGGCTCTGGGGTCTAGAATGTGCATTTGACCAGGTTGAGAGCACATCCTCATCAGTCTGGGCCTTGTTCCAGCAGAGATGGATTTCCAAAGGAACTTGGCCACTCAGTAAAATAACTCAGAGAAATGAAACTTTCTTTTTCGGTATCAAGTACAGAACATTCTTTTAAAAAATTTAAACACAATGAAGTTCAGGTCATTTCTGAGCAAGCCAAGTTTTGTTCACTTTCCCCTGTGGCTCAGTTTGCCGTTCTTACTGTCTAATCTGAAGGCATAATGGATTTAAAGTTCCATAGAGAAGGAGAGGAATATTCTACAAAGCAAGGATAGAAGATAAGCGTTTGACAATGTAGTTAAAGACTCAACCAAGAAAGAATCAAATCCCTGAGGACGTCTCAGCCCCTACGGTTCATGATTCTGAAGGTGACTTGCCTGTTCTAGCACAAGGGGTTCAAGATGTGCATCCCAGTGCTTGACTCCCTAACATGAATGAGGCAGGCACTGTCCCCCCACTTTAATGCAGCTTAGGGCTAATGGGATTCAGTTAGTATCTGCCTCTGGGGACTTGGGCTTTTGGAAATGACAGCCCTGAGTCTGAACATGCGCCAAAGCCCCAGCACTTTCCCTACGAGGTGTCTAATTCTTCCTAGCCTCTATAGAAAAAGAACAGAATCATGCATGGTATTTTATAGTTGGCATGAAGTAGATTTCTTTTTTTCTTTTGATAGGGATGTCTTTTTTTAAATCTCAGACTAAAGCTTTGATTAGTTAACTGGAATTTCCTTTTGAAAAGCTTCAGAAAACTCAGGCATTTCAGGGTTCCAGAAACGTGTCCTCGATAACAGTCATTAACCCAGATCCATGGTACATCTCTTCTCCTACACTCTAGACAAGAAAAAGCTGTAAATGAATGAACTTGATTTCACTGTGTATAAATAAGCCATCCTCCTAGACCCATATCCCCCAGAAGGCTAAGCTGGAAAAGCTAGGCTGTAGCTGGCCCTTAACCCTGCTGTGCGTTTCCTCTGCGCCACCTCTGTGTTTGTGGCAGTACCCTCTTTTCCCTTATGTGCTTTCCCCCTTATGCCAAAATTACTGCTGTTACCAAAAAAAACAAACAACTCACAAGTTGGAAGAACCTACTCCAGGCCTGCTTTGCAGTGTTGTCTCTCTCTGGTGACCTAATCTGTAACTGCTGCTAGTTTAGTGTTTGGAGGCAGACATTACTGTTGTTTATCATGTGCTTTTAATATAGAAACCCTCTTTTCTGTTTCCCAAAATCTGTAAATGCTTTGTTTCCAAGCTTCGTATACTTACTGCTATAGATTAGTGGACCTGGCACAGATTTTCTACCCTGGCCTCCTAGTATCTGCCCTGACTTTAAGAAAAGTTGGGACAACAGGTAGAGAAAGAAAAACCCCAAATGAGATATTTTCTCCTTGGACATAAGACCCTCAGTTGCAGGTTTTTTGGATCCTTTCTTTGTTTAGGAGAATCCCCTTTACATTTCATATAGAGGATAATAAAAAATGAAGCATAAAGATGATGGGGAATCATAAGGGAAGAGAAGAAAAAGCTTTTCTTGTAATACTGGCAACAGAGATGGGATGGAAAAGACGTCTTAACTGTAAAAGCCACCTAGCAGTTAACAAGAGGCAAATGCCTGCTCCCTGTCCCTAGACAACCCTTGCATGATCACCATTAGGTTCTATAGTTTGGGTGCTAAATGGGCCAGAGTAGCCATGCGATACAAGGAATTCCATGCAGTCCTGGGGTTCCTGCCTGTAAGGACAAAGTTAGGAAATCTCACTGCTTCCCAAGCCCTCTTCCCTTACAGGCATTTCTGGAAAACCTCTTAGTAGAGCAAAGAGAATTGTGCAGTCCAGCTTAACTCCCCAGCCCTCCCCCAAGAGTCATAGTTTAAAAAAAAAAGAAAAAGAGTCAGTTTGATGGTGATGTGTAAATATTTATACATATACACATGTATATTTATATAGGTGTAATTTCATATATACAAGTAGATATTTATCGTGTCCTAAATAATTATAACCATAATAATGAAGCTGTTTCTGAAGCTTCTTGTTCCTTGGTTCTGGAAACCAAGGGAGCTTTTCCAGTGGGGAACCATGTCACTGGGCTGGCTTAGAGTTCTGGTCAGGGTTTGGAGGGAACAGAGCAAGCCAGCACACGTGTGGACGTGGAGACTTTGGGGGCGGGGGGTGGGTATCTCAGAAAATGAGCAGTACACGGCCCCAACCTCAGAAAGTAAGTTGATTCACAAGCAGACTAGGAAAGCAGGGGTTATGTTGCTCACGGACTACCACAGAGAAGCAGACCCCACCCCCACCCCCTTCCCTCTGTTTTGCTTCCAGGCGTGTGTATCACTGGATTAGGTACTGCAGCTTCCTTCTGTCTCTTGGTGTTCAGTGTGTCTCTGTAGGGCAGTGGACTGTTCTTTGTCCCCCCTAAATGGGCCTCAGCATGGCCTTGAAGGCCTGACCAGCGGATTAAGGGATTCCCTTTTTCCTGGGCCATTCAGCTTGGGGTGGAGTTCAGGGTAGAGGTCAGGGGGTGGCAGCCAGCCAGGTTCCCACGGCCATGGTACAAAGACACTGTAGCAAGGGAGGACGCACTGTGCCAAGGAACGCATCACCTGTCCGCTTCTGGCCTTTCCTAAAGCCTTTACGTTTGCCCTTGTTTTTAATCTGTGCTGTGAGTTTTTGGTGTGTTTCTTTGTGAGTTTTTTAATTTAATTGTGTAACTTTGTTTTTGCCATTACTGTGAAACTAAGGTGTTATGCTTTTAATTTTTTTTAACAAATGTTACCGTTCTTATTTAAGAGAATAAATTCCAAACAATCTTCAGGTTTCTGAGTTTTTCTTTTCCTTCCCTTTTTCCTGTTTGGAGGGTGGGAAAGGGGTTAGCATAGGCAGGTCTCAAGAGTGGGCCTGAAAGCCATTGTGCCTGAGGACTGTCACTTCTGAGGTGGGGTCAGGAGAGAGTGTGGATGTATTAAAATGGGGAAATGGGGTGTTTATACCTAAGATACAGAAAGGCCTCTGTTCACGGGGGTTGGCGTGGTGGAACACATTTTGTTCTGCAGCAGCTGCAGATAGAAAAGAGCGAAAAGGCGCCCCCCCCCCCCCAGTCAGCCAGTGTGAGGGACTTGCGGGCTAGAGCAGATGGAGGGATAGAAATTCCCCGGAACCCATGTCTGCCATGGGGACACGGAGACAGATGCTTGCCTTTCCTGTTCCTGACTCTGGCAGGCTGCTCTGGGGACCTGGGAACAGTTATGTTTCTCTCCTCTGCTTTGAGGCTTTTGCCTGGGCACAGTGACCTCTCTCCTGGTGACATTGAAGGTTCTTGTTCTTTTCCCAGCTGATGTCTCTCTCATGCTATCTTTGCTGTGACCTGGACGCTGAGCTGGGCTGTCCAGTTCACCTTGGCCACTCACCCTCAAGCCAGGAGAGATGAGCCTATTGCCTTCTCACACACGCTGCCGTGACCTTAGCAGTGGTGGCCTCTT